AGCAATAAAAGTAAAAGCAATAAAAACAATTGAAGGTTCTGGTTTGCGTAGATCCTGACAACCACCACTGTCCTGAGCTCTCAAGCTTGATCAGACAAGGCACAGGATGCAAAGGTCCTGTGAATCAAGTCATTTTTTCTTTATTCAGAATATATCAAGGAGAGACAGACATTTATTTCTCTGTGAAATTAATTATTTCAGCCTAATAATGATGCAGGTGGAATTCAACTAAGCTTAGGCTCCATCCCTCCCCTTTTTTGGTGTCTGCCTTCCAAGGACAGACTGTAGAGAATTGCTTTATCATCCTATTATTCTACCATTCCTTGATTAACTATCTCCCTGCTTACAATTGTACTGCTTCTGCTAATATGGCTGTGTACTTATCCAGAAATGTATCTAGGTGTGTAGCTGTTACTAAATTCCCCTAAAAGTTAATTAAGGGCTGACAGACTCTCAGGGCTGGTGCAACCATGACCTTTTTAGTGTCTTCAGATTGTCTTCTCCTTCTAGAAGCATGTCCTTAGTTAACAGATTTCATGCCACACCCTCTACCTCCTTCCCTCTTTTCTGTGATAATCTTGAATCCCCTAGAACCTGCATCTCTTCAGCAGCCCTAGACTGCCTAATTCCATTCTTGCTTGTTCTCCACTTTTCTCTTTTGTCCACTCTGAGCCCAACACGGAATCTCTTACAGCTTTCAGGGTGCTGCACCACAGATCGCTGCATGTCAGACCTGGTCATTAAGTTGGGGTCTAGGGATCAGCTGGGATGCCGCCCTAATACCAGCCTCCTTGCTGTACAGTAACCTCCCTGCCTGAGCTCCTTGACTCCATTTCTGGGCTGGCAGTGGAGTTCCCCAGACTTTGGTTTTGGGAAACTTCAATTTGCCTTCTCTAGGAGCAGGATCTGAGGTGGCTTGAGCATTCATGGCCACCATGACAGCCATGGGCCTATCCCAGATCATCCAGAGCCCGACAAGGGACAGTGGTCATTCACCGGATCTGGTGTTCCTGTTGGAGCAGTGGCTATGTGATCTGAAATTGGGGAAGCTTTTGGTGTCCCCCTTGTCATGGTCAGATCACACCCTGATTACCATGGGATTCTTTAGAATACAATACGATACGATACGATACGATACGATACGATACGATACGATACGAT